CTATTGCAGCATAACTAAGGGAGGATTCAGGGTCACCTGGTCCAGCCCTAACTATATGCTTTAGCAAAAAGGAAAGTTTGAAGCCTAATCTTGGAAGTATTTTAAGTTCCACGTCGATGACGTCAGATTAGTGATGCCTCTATTCATGTGTTCAACCTTAATTTCAAGTCAGAACGAGCCGTTAGCGATGGCCACGAGACAAGTTGATTCTGAAAGCTGAGCCTTTCAGACCCACCAGGAGGTTTTATTACATGCTGACTGAAACCTGTGTGTCTTACACGTGGAGCTAATTTAGGAATATAATCTAAGACGGCACTACGACACAAAACATAAGTTCAAAAACTTGACTGCAGATCATAAACTCGAGAGGAATCTGACGTCACCACAGCCGTGACAGAGGAGCCACGAGCTGCATGACGACCGTGAGTCCAGACAAAACGACGGCGTTTGAAATCTTTCAGACTCGTACTCCCGACTGCTTCGATTTATAGTGATGTTTTGGTCGGTTCAGTAAATGTTTATCGTGTTCGGCCCGTGGCCTGAAATGTCCTCTGAGTGTGTTGTGGTTTATCTGACTAATAACGCGGCTCTTTATCGTCACGCCAACCACATCCGTGGTTATCAGCAGTTCTTCTTTCTGTGTAAGAGCAGAGGGGAAGTAGTGTGGTGCATGTTAGACATCGAGGAGAGTTGAGGGTGAGTGTGCTCTGTGTGTGTTTGTTGCAGAAAAACATGCTTTTCCATATTTAAATGTTCAGCTGGTCACTGTGCTAATGATCAAGGTTTTAACGTCGTTTTCTTCAATACGATACCTGAAAGTCAGCAGCTCCTTTAAATATGCAGCTAATATTAATAGTGATCACTCTCCTCTTTGTCAAAATGATTTTTAATTATTATATGATTATAATAAAGAATATTAATGTGGATGATCTCTGTCCAAACCCAGAGAAAGATGAGTGGACTGACCTCATTTAACAACAGCTCTTCATTTTCCAATGAGACAGGAAGCTATAATCCAGTCACCACCGTGTCCCATCTCTTCTTCATACCCATCCTCAGTTTGGTGTTTCTGGTGAGTTTCAGTGACTCAGGTCAGCGTGTTGCTCTCAACTACTAATTAAGGTCATTTACATTTTAGAAATTTCTTCAAATTTCAGCAAAAAGGTGTCACAGTCCTTAGTCTTAGATCCAAGTGTAGCATAAAAGACTTGAGCAGCGAGCATGGGCGGGCACAGTGCAGACACATCTGTGTTACAACCAACAATAACTGCAATAGCGTGAATGCACAGATAGAAAGGGAAATGAAATCAGATCCTGGTCTTTTAAAATCCAGTGTTGACTGAACACACAAGCAAGTATGAGGGATGACGCAACGTCGAACAGGAACATACACAGACACTAAATGCCCTTAGGCCCCTCCCAAGTACAGAAAATAAGTTAAAACAATAGAATGACAGAAAACAGCAAAAATAAATAAATAAAACACATAATACATAAAATTAAAACGGCCCTATATTAAAACAAAAACAAGATAAAACATCCCATCCAGGCACAGACAGGTTCCAACGATCGCCGAGAGAAACAGAAGTTTGCTCTGCTCCTTGTTTTCTGGATCAGGGCTTAAGAGAAAACCTTAAAGAAGCTTTCAGCTTGTAGCAGCGGTCTGGCGAGGAAGGAGCGGCTAGCAGGTCCAGCGAGCGTGTGGTGTGGGGGTTAGCTGAATAACCCGAAGCCAGTCGGTTAAATCCAATAACAGACCTTTATTCGCTCAGCAACATTACACCTTGTAAGCCAGGTCTCCACGGCTGTACCGTGCATACATGCGCGGAGATTGGCTTGTCACAACAGTAAGGTCTCTTTTGAGGGAAAAGAACATGAGCAGCATGGAAGCTGCCGCTAACAACACACACCCACTAGGAGACTCCCACAGCTATTACAATAGTAGGGGCCCCCCAGTGGTGCTAGGTAACAATGCAGCCGATTTGAGCCAATAAAGCGCTGCTTAGCATCCTCAGCTGTTCGTCGTTGATGGCCTTGTCTTTGTGTGATTGGAGCATCACGGCTCATGATGTGTCCATGTTACCGCTATGTAACATGCTGTTCACTTTATCTTTTATGGTGATTTTGTAGTCTCAACCACTTCATTTATTTCTTATTTAATAAGCAAGATGTTAATTTGGTCGTTTAAGATCCCATCAGAGTCAAGCAGAGGAGAGCGGAGCCCACACGAGGGTGCTTCATGTCCTCCGGCCTAGTCAGAGATGGCACGTTGACCAGCAGATCAAACTCAGTCAGAGATCTTCATTTTTCTGTGGATGAATGGCGTAAGTGTACCAAACTCTCGTCCTGAGCCTGGTCTCTCTCCTCCTCAGGTGGGTTTACTTCTCAACAGCTTCACCATGAAGTTTTACTTCTGCCGAGCTCATCACCGGGTATCCAGCAGCCTGACGGTCTACCTGAAGAACCTGACGGCCGCTGACTTCCTGCTCTGTCTCAGCCTACCCATCCGCATCACCAACTACGCCAGCGCGTCCGTCACCATCCATGTGCTCTACTGCAGCATCGGGGCTTCTGCACTCTTCCTCAATATGTACGCCAGCATCCTCTTCATGGGGTAC